TATTTCCTAAAGTAAGATAGCTAGCGAAAAATGTTAAGATACAAAAGTTTTAGGCATAACAAATATAGTTTCAATAAGATGGGACTCCTCCGCATTTTGGACGTGTGGTACGGGCATATCTAGATGAAACTTTTTTCCTGATAAATGGATTGGATGCAAGGGAACAATTGAATGGCTAGCTGGGTCTTTTGATATGACCCCACTTGACTTTTTTCTATGGAGTCACATAAAAAATGTAGTCTACAAAAATAGGCCGCCAAATATCGAAGAGTTGCAAGAAAGAATAAGGCACGAAATTCACACCATTCCTCCTCACATAATATTAGATTCACTACAAAATTTTGTTCAGCGAGTTTATTACTGTCAGGAGGTGAATGGTAAACACTTTACACAGGAACTACGCTAATAAAAATGACTTCATAAAAATAAGAGTTTACCCCCAAACAAAAAACATACATATCGAAATGGTAATAATCAACAATATTGGTGGTCACTTATAGGTTGAACTGATTTGTAAAAAAATACATCTTCAGGGGCGTGTAATAGGTTTTTTTGAATTGTTGTCAGTTCTTGTGGGGAGGCCCGTTGAAATATTTTTTTTTTTGAACGCGTTTCTTTTTTGTTGATGTGAACCTAATTTGTGGATCAATGTATGGTTTAGAATTTATGGTTTATTTTTGGGTTTCAATTCATTATCCTTTTCTATCAATGTTGTGCATTTAGCTAAATTATTTATTATAGATAAATGCTGATGTATTTTTTCGAAAGTGTCAACATCAAGCTGATAAAAATCTAAACCTCCTAACTTCATTATCAATTCTTTTGTTTGGTCTATTCTGCGTCCTATGTTTGATTCTTGATGTTTTTTTTCCCAGAGCTGATGAGCGTTCAAATGTCTCTATCAGTCGAATTAAAATGTTTTACTGTTTTTCTAGATTTTTTATCGTCATATGGATATGTTTGCTCATAATTATTCTTTCTGTATANAATTGCTTTCAATGGCCTATTCGGGAATCGGCCCACTTTTATGGCTACCCATTAAGGAAATTTTACATTTTGAATTATATAGGTGTACCTATTGAGAGTTTATTTCTTAATGTGAAGATTTTTTTAATTTTCCTTGATCGTCCCCAGATACGAAATCATCGTAGACTGAAATCAATAATATATTCCGCCTATAACGGGAAGATGTGACTGTTCTAATATGAACATTATGGAAATACAACAAAAAATTAAATAATACATATATGACTTCAAATGATATGAACATAGTTGAAATCATATTCCGAAGCATCTCAAATGAAATGGAAGCGATTTCATCCTGAAATAATAACACTAACACTTGAATATTTAGGAAAAAGTGTTGACGACAAAGGTTATTATGTACAGGTTGAAAGTAATGTAGACAATGATATCAGGGTATATTCCTTGAATGATTTGCACAGTGAGCGCTAAACGAGTAAAAGATCTGATAAAGTCATAATAGGGACGCATAAGTTATCAGATTTATGAGGAAATATAACTGCTTTGATAATGGCTATCAGTTTTATGGTATGACGTGACTAATGGCTAATACCGCAGACGTCGGTCTATGTCTATGGTATTAGCCACTGGCTTCATTATAGATCCTAAAGTACGAGTATGTACTCATCTAAACAGACAAAGTCCAGAGTAATTATATTCAGGATCGGAACGTTTTTATCATTGCCCTTATGTCTGATTTTTCATCTATTCAATGTCACGGAACATTTATAATTTCATCACATAGTTCACATTATTTCAATACAATATGAAGCTGCACTGTCTCCCAACTCCTTTTACTAAAACTATGTACCAAAAAATCCCGCTTATAATGGAAAAGGTTTCCGTATTTTTAGAAATGTTGTGAGCCTTTAAAATTTGACATTGAACAAAAAAAGGTCAAGGATTATTGAATATTTTTATAATGAATTAACAGCAGAATTACACTTAACTTGCTTTCAATATTGTAAGTTCTTTATCGCTGTCCTCGTGTAATGTGATTCAAGGACATGTTGCATCATATCAATATGAGGAGGTCCAGTTCCGACATCAGTCAACTACTTATACACCTTAATATTGTATATATCTAGATCCCTACAGCTTTTTGAATTTTCTTAAGTTTCTACATTTTTCTGTAATCTGTCTAGGTATTGTACTGTCTGGTCATTTAGCTAGCCTAACATAAAAGTTCTCAATGAATGTTTGTTCATCTTTATCTTGTTAATACTTGTAATCTGTCACTTGATTCTTTGTGTCTATTTGTGTTGATGTTAATTGCGTTTTTCCTAATTACACCCTTACCTGTATTTTTTTCATTAACTGCACGTTGGAAAAAAAATTCGTTGGAATCCTACAGTCTGTCAAAGGTGTCACTGCATTTTTTGTGTGTTATTTTAATCCTAATTCCCGTACTTTGAGCAAAGATCTTTTCGAACTTGAGTTTTTTTTCAAAAACTTCCCGTGTGTTTTCTTCAGTGATTTTATTATTTCTGTGAATTCCCGTAGAAATAATACACTGAAGTTCCACACTGTCACCCTTATATTTCAAACAGCAACTGACTAACGCACTACATTCAACAAACTATACTCTATCGAGGAACAAACAATGAATGAATAATCATTCCTAATTCCCTATCGCTACCACTATTTCCTTACATAACTCATGAATACTCAGACTATAAAAAAGGAAACAATATGTCACCGAATTTATCTCCACAGACATTTGCCTCCATCGACAATAATACGAATTTTTTTAGATTGTTGAGTGAAGACAAGAAGAAAGTTTAGTCTTCTTGGAGTGAAGATTGGTTTTTCTTCAGGAAAGTGAAATGCGACCTCATAGAAAAAAATATGGTCGAAAGTAATTTTTTCCTAGTGGTACTTTATAGGAGGTGTCCTCATTTTCAATTGACATATGTGGTGCATATAGCGGGCACTGCCATGTAATTGTTCGAATTCATGGTCCAATGATACTGAATCGTTGTGAAAAATAAACAATTTGAACATTTGTAACTAACGTTACTGCAGTTTAGTCCTATGAGGACATTTTCAAAATAATACAATAAACGTTAGTTACAAATGAAAGTGATAAAAAACACGGAGTTTGATTTCTCATGATGATCTCCTACCACGTAATAACGGCTACATCCATCAATTTATTGTTTTCAATACTATACAGAACGAGATTTATCAGTTATCTAAGAACATAATGAATATGCCAGGAGACACGACAATGCCCCCATATTCGAATAATAATGTTGTATTGTATAGCAACTCGGTACTCGCTTGGCTTATTAACGAGAGGATTTTATTTGCTGTTTCACCCATTCATCATTCATCTAAATAATGAAAAGACCTAATTTAAAAACTTAATCAAATATTTATTGCAACAAAACGTGAAAAATACTTCAAGAATAAACTTACACTAAAATGTTGATCAAAAATACAATAAATCATCAAAAACTTACATTATACTGCCACCCAGCAGGATCGAAGAAGAGATGTGCTGCATTGCTGGAACCTTTTCTGAAGATCAATTAGATACTGAATGAATTTCTCAATACTGTCTGTTTTTTATCTTGACCTCCCTCAATATTTATGAAGATTTTTACGCTGACATTGCAACTTTGATCTGGTCACTGTACTAGTGTAAAACACTCAGTATGCAACCTGTGCAAAGTTTGCGTATTTGGAGATTGTTTTATATATCCTGTGATCGTGTCAATGTCGCTGTCTATGAACTTGGAATATTAAAAGATGGAGTTCTGAATACTGAGTGTTTTTGTTTTAGAATATTGAAGCTGAGGTTGGAACATCTTTCAATTCATGAATTTGTTTAAATAAATTTGAATTATTTCATGATTATTTTCCATATTTGACAATATGTATTGGCATAATTACATCATTAAAAAACAAAAGCATATTTTCAGGAACACAAATTCGTTTGATTGGAGACTAACACAAGCAATATTGTTAGTATACAATATCAAAAAGAAGTTGACGACTTGTCTCTTTTTTATAGACACTTCCACAGAAAGTATTTTGTTGATGATAGAGGCAATTGTACAATTTATTATTTTAGGTCTTTATTCGTTACAGCACATGTTGCCATATGTAGTTAAAATTAATTTTTGAGTTTGAATTGCTGTTTCCATTTGTGTTCTCAATATTCAGCAGAGATAACAGGCGAGAACATTTAACATGACAACTGGCATTAATGACATAAACAGAGTAGCTAACTTAGAAAAACACATGTCCTCCACATTCCGATTTAATCAATTTATAAAACTGCTACAGCAAGCACCAAACGTGATGACGAGCCCCCATACGCACAAACTCATTTTCAATGTAACCCCTACTACAGCTCTTGCAAGACATACAATTGCTCTGTCCAGAGGTGTATCATTACTTATCCTCCAATGCTGTTGGCGTTTGTCATTGTCTGAATAATTTGTGTTTTTTCTGAAAAAATGTTATCGCTTAACAAAAGTTTATTTTTGGATCAGTGTATCATTATATAACATAGAATATGAAAAGAAATTACAAATAAGTCATGTTCCATTCGCTACCCTAATTAAAACTAATTATAGGTACGACACCGGCCTGCAAGGGGCTTATCGTGATCCAATAGTAATTTAGATGGGAGAGTCTATACCTGCTCGATCGTTCGAAATCACGTTTAGTGCTTGCTGTATATTGTCTGCTCACATTACCACGCACAACTTCATTAGAAGGCCATTGAGATACATAGGCGTCACAACAATTTTAACAGACCTGTTAACACGGGGACCAATCAGAACAATCCAGCACAAGTGCGAACCAATCAGGAGTCAGCATTCACATGGACCACCCTCTAAAATTATAAATGTGAGTATGAGTGAACACGGTGCTCTCCAGTCAAGCATTGCTAATTCTTCAAGATATTACTTTTGTCCTCGCCGTCAACGCATATATTATTGAAGATGTCTGCCAAATGAATCATTTGGTGCTAGTTCCATTCAACCACGGCTTACCAGTCCGCATTTTGTTCTCTTTAATAATGTCTAATTGTGTTCTTTGATATTAGTCAGTTGCAATTTTGCTACAATTCATGTTTTTTCTAGACAGGTAGCCAAGTACACTTACCAAAATATACTTGTATCCTGCTATAATAATAAAAGCTGATTTTTGATCTAACATATGGTTCATAAACGATACTCTTCTTGTTCCATTTAACTCTATGACAGTTTTGATCCTGTTAATTGTCTATTTCTAATGTAATCTCGATGTTCATTCTCACACACTTTTAATTGCCTTGAAATTTTACCACAAGAAAAAGGAATTTTATGAATGCATTATTTTTTTTTTCTTCTGTGTAGTTGACTTTGGTATGTGAGATCTCCGTTTTTTTTTTGTAAGAAGTTTTAACATCTTATGTAACATCATGACATATCTAAGTTTTGTTCATGTTAGTGTCATGTGTTTTTGTAGCTCCATATCTCAATAAATACGTAAATATTAATATTACAGTTCAAAGTAAACTCATGAAAACAGACAAAACAACCTAATATGTCCAAATCGTTTTATCTTTTCAGAGTCCAGTAATATAAGGTACAACGTTAGTTGAAAAGTTGTTGGTGCTTGTTGATTCGGTGATTTTTGAGTTGGTGATTGTTGAATTTGTATTGATGTTTGTAGTTATTTGATTTTTGATTAACTGTTTATTTTCTATTGCATTCATTGATGAATCTAAGAATGAATTGAACGATCTCTCTCAGAACAGATTTTATCAGTTATAGTTCCTTATAAAAATTTTCAATTGTATTGCAAATTATTTTTGCAATACAATTGAAAATCGTTTGATGGTTTGATGTGTAGTAGAGGTATGTGTTCTCTTTCAATAAACAAATGTGTTAAAATGATCTGAAGACTTAGAATGTTCAGTAGATTCTGGTGAATGAGTTATAACACTGAATAATAGAGATATTTAATGCAATAGAGGATGATACATACAATATTTACAAAATGGTTAAAATATTATTCAACATGAAATATATACAAATGGGTGTATTCAATATATTCACGATCCACAAAATTCCTTCCTTTAATGAAATGCAATTGGATCATCATTTATATTTCACTTATAATATTCTCGCAAAAATTATGTTCTCAATTTATTGAGTTTTTCAATTTCGGATCCAAGGGTATCAACATTTTCCTAAAATTATGAGTTGAGATTCATTCTGAATTTGAATTTGTAACTTACTTTTAGAGTAATATTTTTCAACAGTGCATCCTCCAGTACAGCCTGCAACTTTCGATTAATGTCTAAAGACAATTCCAGGGTAAGGTTATCATCTGCCACTCGTGAACTGTACAAAGATGCCATTACTCCATTATGTTTAGCTAACTTGGCCTGGAAACGTAAATAATTGTTTAGAAAAGGGGGATTTGAAATATGGTTTTCTTTTTTTTGACGAATATTTTGAACAAACTTCAGCCAATATAGCTTAGGTTATATTNACATTTTTTATTCATGGTAGTTTTATTCATACTGAATGTCATGAAGTAAAAAAATCTACCGATATTGAGTTATAGGCAGTTAATAGAACGATTTGAAATTTTATATATAAGCACGATGTAAAAAAATGAATTTTCAACATAAAATATATTTGATAATCGAATTTCTGTTTCTGTTCACGTTGGTTTTCTTTCGTAACTCGGTTGGAGAAAAGATGCCCAGGTTCTAGAAATAGTATAAAATAAAACTTTATTCTGGATAACTTTGTTCACATAAATATCAAAGATCATAATATCATACGAATGGTCAAATTGATTTACATGTTTTGTAGTAGAATTTACGAATGAAACGGGAGAGTCGTATTTAACGGAACACAGATCGATGGTTGACGACGTAGATTCGGTGTACTTTACTTAGACGGAATAATGGGTCAGAGCAGTCGGATCGACAACAAATGGACGGTTCTGGTTTTATTTTAAATGGCTACACATGGCAGCCAATGCCAACCCAAAGTGTCGTCGGCTTTGGTAAAAACCACTCGCGTAGTCATGGTAACTGAATGCCCACAGTTTCCTTTCATCGAAAATGGCAACTTTGGGGTTAACATCTCGTAGTTGTTTCACTATGACGAGTAATAGAAACTGTCGTGTACTACTTCGCACTACGTTCTTTATAGGGCCGTATGGGAGATTTCTTACCACCACGCCTGTCAAATTTATAGGGTTCGAAGAGTTTCTGTGACAACTTTGCTGTAACTCTGGGCAGCAGAAGATAACAGGTGTTCTTTTTTCATAACTATTTCACCGATCTGTGATGTCCATTAACGTCTTCGAAAGTTTTGATGGTTACTTTTATTCTGGAAAGCCTTCGCCAGATTGACTCGAACAAATTCAAATATTTAATGAAGCTTTTTAATATTTTTCCGCTGGTTCAGCTGACAGTTCGTAGCATTGTTGTCAGAAAAAAATTCCTGGTTTAATTGTGAGAACTCGACCAACGACGGGATCACTTCTTCCCAGTTTGTCACCGTGACTTTACTTTTGTCCCCTGTAATTTGTCTATCGTTATAGAAGAATTTTGGAAACTAGAGCCGGAGACAGAAGTGTCCGGCTCTAGTTGTCCAGCCGACAAAAAAGAGCGTTTCTACTTTCCCTCCACGAGACTTTTATTTCACCACGCTTCAAAGGCGTCTGCAAAAGGCAGTAATCGAAAACCCAAAGGTTCGCCAGCTGAGTCGGGTGCCACTCCGTGATAGAGCATCTAGGAACGCTTTTGTTTAGCTCAGAAAATGATATGCAACAAAATGCTCTAACCCACGAGAACTGTCCTATACTCAGTAACAGGTAACTGATGGTCTTCCAAGTGTCAATCTAAGTATTCTTAAGACACAAGACCGGTTGTCATTGTCGAGTGATACAAGGTCTCTGCCTGTCTTCTACTGAAATAATATTAGGGGCGCTTAGCAAGACCTATCGGTGGCCAACAATTGAACTATTAGAATGGCGGCCGGCGGACTTATATTAATAATAATCAAAATGGTATGCGCATAAGCACCGGCAGCTGTTCGCCTCTAGTGTGGAATTGTTGGAAATTTGTGTGAAGTTCATTAGCTGTAACTGCTAGCTCTCTGTTTGTCTGTAAACTCGTGCGCGCTACTCTCAAAAATGACTCAATCGATTTGACTGCAGTTTTCACTGATGTATTGCAATAGGATTCACTTAATATTTGGTATTTCATTTATACGAATCAACGTGATGGAAGCCACAGACAAGAGATATACAAATAATATTTTAGAATGTTCAGTTAATCATTGAAGAACAACTTATTTCATATTGAACGGGGATATATTTTCAGGATAGATTAGTTTTTAGGTAAGAAAAGTGAAAATTCATTTCAGTTTTTGCCTATTTGGATATTTACACATTCATAAAGCAATAGGAAAATCTAATTGAGAAAAAAGTGATTATATAGGTTATATTTTCAAGATGAACCATTCTCTCAATATTTTCAATTTCTCCAACTCCAATACTGTGAAATGCTTTCTTTCGACACTCATTGTACTCACCGTTTTGTTGTCAACGGAAGATGATAACAACTGATGATAATTTTCATAAATTAGCTATCTGGTCCAATGTATGGCGGTGGGAAGCATATCAAGTTTAGATGTAGAAACAAGTAATTTTCAGTATATTCGATCTGAGGTTCTGCAGCCACAAAGCTGCTCAAATCAGTAAAATATCTGGTTGGTTGATTTCAAGAATCAAATCCGAACAATTGAAAACTATTTTGATGTATGACTTTATTTTATGTGTTGTAAAAATAGGATTCTCAAAATCAATATATATGATAATCCTGTAACTGATCGACGTAAATGGAAGATATTTTAGAAAAACTATTATTGTGGTCTTTATCAACGGAATAGAACTGAAAACAATGATTTTGACCATTTTTGTCTGCTGTCCATGTGTTCTAATTTCGAAAATAGCTTATCTGATTTGGTAGCAGTTGAGATGTCAAAATAATAAAACATTTTTTTGTGTCGCGAGCGACTGTTGTCAACAATTAAATGTGTCGGCAGGCAGAAAGATGAAAAAGGTTTCGGTGTTTTGTAAACTGAGTTCGGTATGTGGAAATGGTCAGCGTCATTATTACTTTATTTAAAGTGTTAATCTATGGTGGGTATAAATTACGATTATTGGCACTAGGTAGGCTATTTTTATCGATTTGTTGTGTTGCAGGAATTTAATTGCTGTTCGTGTAGTGGAAACTACAGAAAACAGTTCACAACAAAACACGCAACTCAAACTAATTTTTGTCTGTTTGGTGGAATTTGACCTTCGTTTTTTTTTTTGATACCACAAGATTTTGTTTCTCTTTTTGAAAACTAAACTAGTCGCAAGCGAGTCCATTTGGTGAAAATCCGTTTTTATATTGTACTTAGTAAATTTCATTCAAGACTACTATTCAGGTGATTTGACTCAAAGTTTTTGACTTTCTACTACTTCATCTTGATACAAAAAAAGAATGAGGGAATCTTCCAAAGATTGAAAGGAAGTAATCAATTTGAAAATAAGTAACTCTATACGTGGATGTGTAGATCATGCAAAGGAGTAACTTTCAGTCACAAACTGAAAGAAAGTCCTCCTGAAATAGCTACTTTCATATAAACACTGAATTACACGAAAGAAAATGATTCTTTCAAAACAAATACTTCTATATGAACACTGAATTATACAGAAGATACTTGCCTCTACTCAGTTTGTATTTCAAACATTCGTTGTGGAATAAAAATAAAATACAATTCACATGAGTTCTACTTTAAATGAATGGTAACAAATTACACTTACATGGAACACTGTCATCCTCACTGGTATACCGATGTTTCAGTACCAAATTGGATAACATTATAGAAAATAATAATAATAACATTATAGAAAATAATAATGTTATCCAATTTGGTACTGAAAAGCCTTGGGGCAAGTGTCTTAAGGCAAAACATCGATGTATACCAGTGAGGATGACATGTAAGTGCAATTTGTTACCATTCATTTAAATTAGAACTCATGTGAATGCTATCTGATTTTTATTCCACAACGAATGTTTGAAATTCAAACTGAGTAGAGAAAAGTATCTTCTGTATAATTCAGTGTTCATATAGAAGTATTTGTTTCGAAAGAATTTTTTTTCTTTCGTGTAATTCAATGTTTATATGAAAGTAACTATTTCAGGAGGACTTTCTTTCAGTTTGTGTCTGAAAGTTACTCCTTTGCATGATCTACATATCCATGTATACAGTTACCTACTTATTTCTCAAGTTATCTGATGGGTGAAGGTCGATCTCCCAGGGTTTCCTCTACTATATGAAACAAGTTTTTACTCTTTTTGGGAAAGAAAATTTTTGGCTTTCTACTACCCCATCTTGATACAAAAAAAAGATGAGGGAATCTTCCAAAGAAAGGAAGAAAGTAATCAATTTGAAAATGAGTAACTCTATACATGGATGTGTAGATCATGCAAAATAGTAACTTTCAGACACAAACTGAAAAAAAGTCCTCCTTGAATATTTTTTAAAATCGAGGTGTGGTAAGGATAGTTGTAGAGGTAGACATCATTCTCTACCTCATGTTTCACGCAATGAACAATCACAAAATGAACTGAAAATCCTAAATGATATTGTGAGTAATAAACAACCACAAAAGCCCGGCAAAGCAAAGCCCAAACAATCTTGTGAGTCAGACCAATTTCTGTGCTAGTTTCCATAGTAAATATCCAGTAAATGGAATGAAAATTGTACTACTACGACTCGCACCTGTGTTTCTAAGAAGACCAGCTGGGGAAATTCCCACTTACGCACTCTTTGATGAAGGATCAACCTGTACCATCCTTGAGAAAGACTTAGCTCACAGATTATGAAATAAGTCACCACGAAGATCATTCACGAATGGTCTTTTTAGATATCGCTACTTCTAGAAATCAACAAAAATTCTTCACGCTGAAACAAGTGAGAACCATGCAGAATTTGCGACTTCCATCTCAAGAAATAGATGTTGATAACTCATTAGTTTTATTCTCCGAAATACAATCCCTTTTTGAAATCATGACAGTTTCCCTTCTCAAAGGATTCCTAAATAAACTATTTTTTTGAAAATGATTACTGAAAGCGACCATCGAGTTGAACTTTTCTTCAAACCATTCAGAAAAATTTTCTGATAATGTTTGTATTTTAAAGATGTTTACGAAATGAAGGCGATAATTTTTGGTACAATATCGTTCCCATCTGCAGTACAATTTATGAAAAAGAAAAATGTCCGTGCAATGGAGAAACAACATTACTACTTGGATTCTTGCCAAACGATAGATGAAGCTATCGATAGAATGCGAAATGTTATTGTTGTTCATAAAGAGGCAAATTTGGATAATGTGAAGTGGATTAGTAACTCAAATGAAGTAATGCAGTCAATTTCAGCTAATTCTCAAAATGTCTAAAAGAATTCTGTGCATATTCTGATCTCCTACGACTGATGATTTTTCATTTTATATTGAACCTGAAAAGCAATTCCTGATGAAATCTGCGATGGAAAGTACCAACTGAAAGAGAAGTACTGCGCACGGTTATGTCAATATTTGACCCGGTTGGTTTTCTTGCTCCTCTCATGAAAAATTCTAGAATTATGATTCAGAATATATGGAGAAGTCATAGTGATTGGAATCAAGCTATTACAAAAGAACTTTTCTACATCTGGCCGAAATGGTTGACCCAATTGTAACATTTTACTCCTGTCACTATCAATTGATACTACTTTTCGTGCTACTTTCCGATGTATGTGATAAGGCATATGCAGCAGTCGCCTTTTTGAGTATGGTTGAAAATGACGACTTCGTCAACGAACTGTGGACTTCCATATTCCATTTGTAGCAACAGAAAGTTGCTGCAATGAATCAACAAACCATCCTGAAATGGGAGTTACAGGGAGCAGTGCTTAGATGTAGAATAGCAAAATCCATACAGAAGCAACTGCAATATAGAATTGACAAAATTTACTTCTGGACTGACTCAATGGTTGTTATTCAACAAAGCAGGTCTGAATCAAAAAGATTCTCATTTTTCGCAATGAGATTGGTTACCATCTGAATTGAATGTTGCAGATCGGGCGACGAAAGAAAGGAAAGATATTGATTTGTTACCAAAAAGTGAGTGGTTTTCTAGACCACATTTTCTGAAATTACCGGAGACTGATTTGCCGGAAGAACCACGTTGCTCCAATGAAGACAATCTGATACTACTCTCAGGTATCAATGATAGTCTAGTTCTTCCGATGAACTTCCCCAGTACATATATCCAGATTCTCGAAATTTAATCGACTCATTCGATCTACTGCGTGTATTCTACAATGAAAAAAAGTTGTCATGATTACAAAACTGTCTAGGCCGCCCGACTTCATTTTGTGTGGAGATGAAATCGAAGATTCCATGAAGTTATGGATCTGAAAGTGTCAGAAAAAAACTTTTGGAGAAGAAATTTTCATTCTGAAAAGGAAGCTATTTCTACCAAAGTCCAGACGCTTATATAGATTATCTGCCTTCTTGAACGAATATTTTATAGTATGCCTGGACGGCAGGATTTCAGATACGACTGAATTGGATATATCATTTGAATCTTATCTTATCTTACCCATTCGGTAAGATCCAAAGCACAAATTCACAGAGCTTCTCATAGATAAGTATCATCGAGAATCTAAACACAAATGTTTGAAGACAGTGGTCAACAATATTTGTTCCAAATTTTGGAATATAAACATACGAGTAGCTGCAAAGAAGAGCTTTAGAAATTGCCAAGAATGTAAAAATCGGAATTACAAACCTCTTTCTCCAAAAATTGATTTGTTGCCTCCCGAGCGGTTAGGAGCATTTTCTTTCCCGTTTTCCATGGACCCATGACTGTTGCAATATGACAAAGAGTATTAAAACGATACGTACTTCACTTGTCTCACCCTCCGTGGACACAAGTTCTGCTATACTTGCTATCCAACGTTTTATGTGTAGAAGAGGTCAGTCAAAGTGGATAACAACAGATAACGGAACCAATTTTGTCGGAGCAGAACGTGAATTTAAGGAATGGTATCAAGGCTTAGATCAGAAAAAGATTTCAGAAGAAGTCACACCCTCCAGGAGCTGCACACATGGATGGAATCTGGGAAAGGATCATGAGATCTATTGAAACAGCTCTGAAGATCAGTTTGATGTCCATCAATCCAGAAAAGGTTTTGGTAACATTGATGAGTGAAATTGAATATATCATTAATTCAAGGCCCTTGACATACATATCGATCGTTACCAATGAGCCAGAAGCTATCACTTCGAATCATTTTCTGCTACTGCGAGTAGGTGATGTTAGATCATTCGGCAATGTGGAGCGTTCTAGCATAAAGCAATGGAGAATTGCACAAGCATTGGCAAATACGTACTGGAAACTATGGGTGATTGAATATAGACCAACACTTCTTCAGAGACAAAAATGGTATGAGAAAACTAATCCTATTAGAATTGGTGACATAGTTTCAATCGTGAACGAGAAGGCACCTAATAATCAGTGGATTATAGGAAAAATAGAAGAAACGTTTCCCGGTGAAGACGGAGTCATCAGAGTTGTTCGAATTAGGAATAAACATGGAACATATGTGAGGCCTGTCACCAAACTGTGTATTCTCACTCAGGAATTGATATACTCACCTTGCAAAGTCTGCTAATGGGTGAAGAATGTTACTCATTACAATTTGTATTTGCTTGTATTACTTAATTATTTATCACTAGGTACGAGTTGTTGATAAATATCATAGTTGTTAGAATTAGACAGAAAAAAAAATAATAACTTTCAAGACAAATCATTAAATTCGAAATTGTTTGAATTCGTCTTCAATTCGCTTCAGTATTTTACACAAAAGTTTTGATTTCGATGTCTGTATACGCCACACGGACTACCAATATGTTTTCATAGCTTTTCACCACACACAGAATGTGCAGCCCCTGGATCATATATATATATTTCTTTGCCATGTATTTTTGTCATGAGCATACTTTTGTTTTTGAAATATATATTTCGTACATTTGTTGTGTTAGTAGAGGTATAACTATAGCCACTTTCATTGTCGTCCTTCGTTTCTGCGTGATGTACATATCGTGTATTTTTTTTCAATTTAGTATTCGAGCATGTCACGTTGTTATGTAAACATTTGAAGAAATGATGCAATGGTCCACATGCTGAGCACTTTTTATTTTTAGCAGGACATTAGTCTTTTCCTCTGTGGCGTGTTATTATATTTATCTTGTTCAAATTTATTACTTTTGTCGTTACGTTCAGGATGTTCTAAAAACCGACTTGATCTTTTAAAACCTGAATTTACCGCATTTGTATGTTTGACATCAAACTGTCCTCAAAGATTCGAAAGTTGTCTCGACTGTAACGAAGCCTGTTCTGAAATAAGTGCTGTTGCTTCATTTTCCTCCATGGTGGCTGTATTATTTGGATATAACCTAATTTATTCCTGTTGCCAGGTCATGTTGTTGATACCAATAACCAGTTGATCTCGAAGACGTTTCTTTAAACTATAGGAAAATTCGTGGACTGGCTGGAAATTGTAATGTATTGATTTCACTTTCCTTCCGATAACAAAACGCAAATGCTACTCAGACGAAATATATTTTTTCTTACTATGATATTTGTTTGGAACGTTCACTATATCGTTAAGAGATTTTGTTGTCATTCCATCTGGCTTAAAATGATCAGCCAGATATTTAAAATGTTCAGGTCCTACCTTACTCAAAAGCAAATTACGTGGTGGTGGTAGGCTCATCATTCGTGTCCAGACCATAAAGTTGTTATTCCATTTTGAAACGTATGTAATAGTCCCAGTCCTCTTTTTCCAGAGAAAATCTTTTGAACTAGAAATATCTCAAGTATCTTGTAGTAGTTGACATTTTTTCTTTAAACTTGAATAACACAGTTCAAATCATCTGGTTGCGTTGAATGTTTTGTCGAACTGTTTGATGTTTTTATCCGTCTTCTGAACTCTCACTGGTTTATTCTCTTTTATTATAATTTTTATTGTTCATCATCGGAATCATCGCAAGCTATATAATCTGATCTCAGATCATTATAAAGCGGTGTCATCAATTTTTGAGAGTGTTTGGTCCCCAACAAATCCAATTGGTTTAAAATGATAATTGTCTATAAAGAACATATTTTAAAAGAATTTTCATCAAAGTCAATATTTTCTTCTTTCATCCCACAAAAAACACTTTCTATTCGTTTTTGACATCCCAAATAATATTATTTAGAACGTATTGTCACTAGTAAATGCAGCTGCTACGTTGTGTCCAGATCTATCACACGGACTTTGGACGCTCTACATTTTCTCTCGATTCGATTATGAGAAAGAAATTATTGAAATGAATTCAATCAAAAATAGCTATGAAAACTTTTCGATAGGCATTTTTGTTAATGATGAAAATATGTCTCATCAAGTTATCCGATTAGTGAAGGTCGATCTCCCACTGGCTCTAAGACTAATATACAAGTTTCTGATTTTAGTGCATTATAGTCTTTTGAAATACTCTTCGATATACAGAGTACCCAGTAGAAAGTTGACGTATCAAATTTAGACATTTCAATCAAAATTACATATGTTGCTTTCCACATTCGAATGCTGTCAGAAAAGAGCTTTTGAGAAATTGGAGTTAGTTAGGGTATACACAGAGCAGCTTGGAAGAATTATCGATAAATCGATCTTTTCAGCCATCTTCATTTTCATTGGGAACATTGTTTTGTTGTGGAGAAACTTAAAAAAAGTGAAACTATTTTTACATAACTCTCGAACCGCTATACAACCCCATATTTTTAAAGAGATATCCATTTATTCATCAACTATAAGTGTCGTCAAAAATATACACACATGCCACAGAAGATACAATGAAAACATTTGGACAATTATGAACAAAAAAGTGATAAAAATATTTGTCATTGACACATAAACTTATAAATTCATCAAGACTATAGAAGCGATTCTCTATTGGGCAGAATTCCAGTTTGTGTTTTGAAAAATTTGCTGTAGGTGCTGAATATTATATCAGAAGGTAATATATGTGTAATATATGGCACCACCTTCAGGTGATTTTTTGAAATAACTATGATTAGAGGAGAGTAGGGTATTATAGAATACTCGGGAAATATGGAATACTCAGGTTTTAGTTCTGTGTAGTGCTGTTACCTCTCGGAAATATCATGAACTACTTCAAAAGACTCCCATGATGTTCTACTGTGAGATATGACCACCTGTTGCGGTTTAACTGCTCGCTACAGAACAAATTTTGTTTTTGTTTTGTGCTCCACAAGAATTTTTACAGGTGAACGTTCAAATATTTGTACTAACTACTACAATGTAACTTAAGTTTTAAGACTGAACACAATGTAGCATCAAAGAGTTGTTAATTGTTGAGAGATTGGTTTTTCAGTGACAGTATTTGTTCATCAGTTTTTAGGCTATCTGTTCAAGGTGAAGTGTGTAATATAGAATACCTGAATGCGTCTTCTGCGATGGAAAAATCTCCGTTAATTCCAAAGAGGAGAGTTGGATTCAGTATTTGAGTTGCTCGTTGTGGGCTCATTTGACTGTATAAATATAGTACTCATTATAGTAAAAGTTTTTGCTTTTAAAATTAGAAATAACTAGGTTTCCTGTACTTTAGATGGCTTTTTCAAACCTCGTATTCCATATTACTCGACTATTTCATATTACCCTTCGTTTGTTATATTTCAATTAATTTCATTTTTTATAAAGAGGAAAATCAATAAGAAATTTTTAAACATGTTACACTTAACTATAGTTAATATAGCATGTTTTCATACTATTTTGAGAGTTTTTACTGAGAGATCACATAGCAAAAATGTACATGGTATTCCATAAAACCCTATTTTCATATATGTTCTCTCATATAGATATTCAAATATTACCATGTTACGTCGTGTGGTTATGTGCAAACATCGCCATCTATTTGAATGAATTGCAAGATTGTGTTCTTCAATTAAAATTCTGGTATTATCAAAATGTATGCCATGACCTATTGTGTATACACATGCTCACTTTAGGCACATCTATGTGGAGCTAATCTAGAATCCCTCTTATGAGATTTAATATGGTCTTTTAAAAGTATAAAAGTTTCATCAGTATACGTTTTAATACAATGCGTATAAGGAATTGAATATACTAGTTCAGACTGTTAAAAAAAATCAGTTTAAAATCTGTTTTTCTTTTAACCAGCTGTCGACATACGAACGACATATGAACGACAACCCTTAGAAGTCGAAACTTGTGCGAGCTAAGGATTATCGAGGTCTTACCTTTTAACATGTGATTCCTAACACTGATACATAACTTTGGAAAAAATTGAGTTTAAAGTTAGAAAATTTTAATTTGAAATGGTAATGTAATCAAATTCTTTGAATATCCGAAAAAGTTTCGGTGTGAGATCTACAATACAAGGTAAAGAAGTGAAACAAGACATTTTTGGAGTCGTGTCTACTGTAAAATTACTATTTATGCTATTGTTTTTGGTTGAAGATCTGGGGTCACCGTAGGAGCTTCTCTGGTGCTTCTCTTCTTTGTTGGCTTGGAGTTTCTACGTTTTTAGAAATCCTACCGACTGCGCCACTTTGTTATATTTGGGTTTCGAATATAAACTTCTAAAAAACAAGTTTATTTTCTTTCACAATACAAAGGTAATAATAACTTTAACTGGGACAAATGTTTAGCCAAATGAATACTGGGGCTTCGGATCTACCTGCTTTTATAGGTTACCCCCACTGCAAGTGCTTTGTGCTTTATTTCTGGACTAGTAAACAGGGAATGCTCAGTCTCTGCTGACTTCAAGGGTATTCTGTAGCTGCGCAACTAATATATATCATGAAACATCTATGATGGGAGGTACAATAGGAGAGTCAGTAAAATGGATAAAGTCTAGTAACGATGGGGTTTCAAAATATGATGAGGAAAGATTTTCGTCACTATCGACTATCATTTAAATTGGTATTTTCATCAATCTGAGAGATAATTGATTCCTCATCTGTTGATCAATCTGGTCTAATGAGAGTGTTATTGTGTATGAGAGTGTATTGTTATATATTCAAAGTATCCAAAATTTCATGATGGTTTTCGTTGGAATCATCTGTAAAATTTTGTAATTCATTTGTATTTCCACTCTAGATAGTGCGTCCGCGTTGGTATTCGACTTTCCCTTCTTATAGATGATTTCGTAATCGAACCCCTCTAGTTTGAGACGTCATCTCACTAAGCATGAGTTGGATTCTTTGAGTGACATCAGCTATTGTAGGGGCTTACGATACGTGAACATTTAAAATTTTTTGCCATACAAGTATGATGTGAAATATTTAGTAGACCACACGATTGCTAAGAGCTCCTTTTCGATAGTAGAATAATTTTGTTCAGACTGATTGAATGTTCTAGACGCATATGCGACTAGTTTTGAGACAATACCATGAGATTGGTTTACAGCAGGAGTACTAAACAGTATATTTTTCAATAAAATCCTAGGATAAGAATTATCTCTGAATAATTGAAAGAGAATATTTGAAATTTCTGATCAAAAGAACAATCAGGAATGCAGACTACCCGGTATTTCATTTGTTTTACCAAATCAACCTCAATGCACTCTTTATGATAGGACTGATAGTTCATATATCTACCTAAATTAATGAGTTTTCTATACCAACGTATTAGTATGGTATTGTCATATGTTTACCATGAAGAAGTTGCAGTAAGAATCTTTACTTTTCTTTCACATTTCCTGCAAAATATAAATCATATGTTCAGTCGAAAGTGATATTTTTTTCTCTTTCAGAAAAGGCGGACTCCTGCTTAACAACGTCTTGGGAGTAAGTGGGGCGTGCCTAATGTGGTGTACGAAAATAGCGAATTCATACGAAGTTTTATTTGTTGGCAGATTTATTATAGGGGTCAATTGTGGTGAGTTGTTCCGCTGTTACCTAACTAGGTCACAGACTGGTATGTTCGTATATGCATGTGTTCGTATATTATAAATGTCACGAGTATGACCTTTCAGCTTTGTAAGAATAAATTCAGGAGTGGAATGAGATGTAATCAATCATCCCACACCTGAAGCATGTGAAATGAATCAAGAAACGTTTCGTGATGAGCTGAATGAAACATAAATGATGTTTTGATATTGCTGTGTTAAATTTTGTGCCAAATATAAGCGTGAATCAGAAGCAGGTTCTAACAGAAACATTTTTTCACAACAGTTTTCCGGCATAAAAAAGGCTAGCTCATTCAAATATATTATACCCAATCCACATAAACTTGGATAGATAGATAGATGGTACTTTATTACCAATAGGTATAAGTAAGTACACCTAATAACAGGAAATGTATAAACTAGATGAATGTATGCTAACACACTGTGTGTGTTTTAACAAAATTGAATACCACAAAGAAAATATTACATATTGTGAGTAAACATCATGATACAACAATTTATTGCAAACGATTGAAACGATTCTTTGAAGACTTTCTATGGAACTTACTTGGGTTGCATAATGGGGATACCATAATAATACCTCATATTTTAATTTGCTGCGTACATAACAGTTGAATAGTAATGTAAGAGTTGATGGATCTGAGAATTCCCTACCATTCCTCAATATGAAGCTTAACATTTTATTAACTGAAGACATGGCACTTTGCATATGAGGATTAAATGACATCTTTTGGTGAAATACTATGCCAAGGTGACGCATTTGAGACAAACGATTCAAGAGTGTTTTATTGATATTACATTTTATTTCTTCGAGAAGGGAACAGTTGAACATTGGTTAATATCCAACTCAAGGTGGTTCATAGTACACCACCATACATGTGATGTATTGTTGTCATGCTGTAATGAAATGCAATCTTGAGCTGTTAGGATACTTTGATAAATTTTCAAGTCATCAGCATATAATAGGGTGGAGCATTGAAAGTCCAGAGTGAGGTCATTGATGAACAAGAGGAAAAAAAGAGGCCCAAGATTAGAACCCTGTGGTAGCCCTGAAGTTAGTGTTATGATAAAAGAGCGATTGTCTTAGAATTCAACATATTGTCGCCTATCGAAACGATATGACTCACATAAAGGCGATAGTTGAGGAGATAATCCTAAAAAAATAAGCTCTCGTAATAAAATTTCCAGGTTAATTCTGTCGAAGGCTTTTTGTATATCCATATAAACAACATCTACTTGACCTCTCTGGTTCAAGATTTTGTAGGCATATTGATTTATACAAGACAGCTTTGTCACACAGGACTTTTTATTAACAAAACTGTGATGTACAATAGATAATATACCCTTTGTAGCGTTGTATATGTCTTTTCGCAAAATTTCAAAACACAGAAATAGGTCTATAATTTTTTATTTGTGTCAAATCGCCGTTTTTTAGTGTTGTTGAATCCTTACAAGTTTCCAAGTGTAAGGAAATGTGTTTGTTTTGATTATCAAATTGAAAATATATACCAAATAGTATATAATGGTATAAATGGGATAATACAATCCCTTGATCTGGTATTTGATCTGGATCCACGATTTATTTATTCTTGAGTTGTTTGAATGACTCAATATCATGATTTTCTGTAATGCCACTGAAATTGTTGGTGGGCAAATTGGCATTTTTTTCGGTGAACTCTCTGCTAAATCGGAATCAAGCAAAGTATATACACTGGATATATATTTCCCAAAAGCGTTCACAACATATTTCGTGATATAAGGAAAAAATCTCAAAAACCTACATTGAAAATTGCACAAAATGATTTAAATCTGATTGAAGTATATATGCAGGTAACTGAGTCATAGACAAGTCAATCAGTGCGTTCTGAGTTCTCCATTTGACTATATTTCTATAAATATAAACATGCTTTATTTTCATCATGGGGCACTCTTGCCCATATTTTCAAACTCTTGTTGAATTTGTGCTTTAAAAAAATGCCATATGTATCAATCAATTTTTCCCTGGGTATTGAGATTATGTCAGAAAAAAAAGTATCGATTGTTGGCGGATAATCCAGAGGCACAGTAAACATATATTCAGATGGATCTTGTTGGTTTTTCATATTCTCTTTTGAGTACCCACCCAATTTTTTTCAGCTATAGTGAAACATGGTTATTCATGTTGTTGTGACATGGTATGGCAATTGTTAAATATGAAATGAAACATGACACAAAAATTATTAATATTCTGAATTTGAAATTCAGAATATTAATAATTTTTGTATTTTTTTGTATTGTCTCAGTTCGATTTTATTGCCATGTATACACCATACAAATCATTTCAAAGTGAAATACACCAAAAATATAGGTGCATCCATCACAATGTTTCATTTTAGTTTTATTATAAGAAACAAGCGACCTGACCCAGTTTTGCATGAGCTTCATTTTTTCTGTAATAGAAATATCCCAGTTCATTGAGAATTATTTTAAAACGGTCTCGAATGTCATTGAATGTTCTGGAATATTTTTGTCCTTTCAAAGTTTTTTTATATAGGTGGGGCTACCCAATGATAGAGGTATATAAAGCAAGATTTGTCAACCCCCTGAGATTTAAAGTTTTTCCAACTATCACACAGTCTCATATCAACTCCCTGAATCAAATCGGCTACTTCAAAAATTAATAATAATGGCCTTGGATAAAATTCTCTCGAAAGCATGTTCGCAACTATCAAATCCAATTTTGAAATATGTAAGTACTTATCTACTCTATCTCTATCTATCTATCTACTCTATCTACATGTATCATTGGGTTGTCAGATCGCGACCGCTTGAATTTATTCAAGTTTCAATTTTGCGATAACTGTTAAGATATTCATTCAAATTTCAAGATGGCAATTATAATACCTATGCATGAGATACTAAATGTAACTGATATAAACAATTTGATAATAATCAATATAAAATTATTCAATGTGAATTTCTCCAAAATAAATAAGTCAGCAATCGAATAAAATAATAATAATTAATATCGTACCCGTCCAAATAGTTTTCCAATCACCACAGAATATGACAATTATCAATTATCCATGAAAGATAAACCTATAAAAAAAAGAACAATATGTAGGAAATGTTCGGTTATATCCGTTTTCTGTGAAAGATTCACAGTTTCATACGAGTAGCATCACTACCCCGACTTCGCTCGAAGAACATCGTCATATTTCAATAATTCCCCACAGATCAATAATGAAATGTATGTACATCAACTTTCCTCTAAAATCACTTCGTGTATTGATGAAAACCGTATTCGTTTGGTAGTTTTTTAGTTTGTCGCGTTCAGACAGGAAGTCAAATATGGCGGAGAAATTTATAATATATATTGTTTATTCTGTATTATATATTGAAATAAAAATTCACTTCTTGAACTGCCATCTCAGTCAATGATTTTAACGACAAACTTCCATTATATTCGAATAACTTTCAGGGCTGAATACTTCCCTAGTACCAATGTATATATCGGAAATATCGCCTTTGAATTTACGAGGTGGTCTTGGCACTGTCAACCAACTCGCAGTAACATCTGGTCTTCTTCTATCCCAAGTTCTCGGTATCGAACAACTATTGGGAACCAACGATGGCTGGCCACTTCTCGTAGGACTTGCTGTAGTACCGGCAGTTTTACAGTTGGTGAGTACTGCTCTGTTTTTTCGTATAATAATAATCCGAATTCTTAGTAATATTTATACAGCAGCCAGCGAAAGCTTGGACCAATTTATGTGATGGAACTGACCGATACTAGATGAAAATCCATTGTGAAGTATTCAATGGCGGATTCAAATCTGAATTTTGGGGGTAGGGGGATAATTTATGAAGTTCGTCTTGGTAATTTTCAGGTAGAATAATTCATATATGAAAGTGTGTGCATGTATTATCACAATACTCATGTGAAATGTAAGAAATGTTCAAAACGAAGACTGTTTCCCAACACCAGAACTGCAACACTTTTTTCGACACGCGTTTCATAAACAACCAAGTTGGCGGTCTTTAGGAGAACAAGTTCACCAATACCTATCTCTGGAACTGGTGTCTATTTATATCTAACGGGGTACACTTTCACATCCTAACATACATCAATGATTTCGGAAAGAAGAAGGAAGAGAGACAGGTTATCCAATGAATGAAACAGAAAGATGTTTTCTATCCAAAAGCAGACAAAAAATGGTTATGATATTGGACAAGTCAGATTACTATGAGAGAAATGATAATTGAATTGAGAACGGTCATTACAATAAATTACCAAGGAACCCATTGTCTAAGATGGTTTCAGAAGTGAAAACACTCAAAAAGTGTCAAAATTCGATTGCACCGACTTTGAACACGAGCCTACAGGTTTTCAATCCAAGAGTTCATGAAATATACGGTCTACCAACGGTAAGCCGTGAAGTTCTCTAACTTGAATTTCTTTGTGTCAAAAATCGCTAATATGTCATCTGCATATCGGATTCAAGTTCGTGGGAAATCATCTAACTACCCTTTAGCTTCCATTTTAATTAAATCTGCTCATGAACAGATCAGCTATGAGGAGGAGGAGCAGTGTGTTTTTCATTGCAGTGCCTACATGCTGTTTGTAGAGATGTTTGTTGACTAGAATCAATTCTGTTTCTTGCAGATTTTTGATAGTTTCAGATAGTAGTCTTCGATTACTTCTCCACTGATACCATCGACCCTCAGAAGATCCCTCAAATATTCAATAGTTTTTGGTATATAGGCACTTGGAAACAACTATGATATATCAATTGATTATAAAATATGTCTATTAGGCAACTTCACATCCATAATTATATCTGAATTCATGTGAAAACCGAAACTTGAACTCAATTATGCGATTTGGAGATTTTCAAATGTTTGGTTAGCCATTTAGCAGTTTTATAAGTAAGGGAATTTATGGCGCAGACAATTGGTCGCACTATTTGCTAAATTTGTGAAGGTTTGTAGATTTCGTATTTTAAGAATTGTAGGGTTAGAAATCTGCAGACTTCCATTCAAAGTCGATGCGATCGAACTGTTACACTTCTGAAACCATCTCAGGCAGTTGGTTCTTTGATAATAATTTATTGTAGAGACCATTATCAATTAAATTATCAATTCTCTTATAGTACTTTGATTTGTCCAAGAGCACAATCTTATTGCTTTTCTCCGCTTTCAGATTAAAAAAAAAATCTTTCAATAATTTGATAATCTTTCTTTTTGTCTTTTTCTACTCGAAATCATTGATGCGTGAGATCAGTTTTAGAGTTGAAAATTAACGTACTTCATCCCCGGAGGACTCCAACTTGGTTAGTGAAACAAACAGTGTTTGTTTTGAACATTCAATACAGTTCAAATAAGTACCTATTGTGATATACAGGGTATATCTTGATGAGTTAACGCAATCTATATGTAGAAAACTGAGAGTAGGGCGATTCTAAAAATTGGTAGGATGGGTGAAGAACTAATGAACAATTCAACTGAAATATTATCGTTGAGGTGACGTTTCGGGTTTCACCGGAAGTGACGTCATCTTTGTTATTTTTAATGGCACACCTTGTATTTCACCTAATTTTTTAATTTTTCCTATGATTTAGATTCGAACTCATGCATCATATCCTTTATCCAAAATGAACCGTTTTCGAGTTATTCAAGTTTTTTTAGAAAAAGTGACAGAATCAGCCTCTCGAACATACGTCATTTTTATGTAAATTAACAATTTTAAAAATATGCCGCTAGTGAATCGTGATAATTGAAGGTTGAACGGATCACGCATCATTTTCACGTCCACTGAATAAACCACAGGGTACGCAAAAACTAGGATCCAATAAGTGAATGAGAAAAATTGAAAATCTCAACGTTTTCAAATGAAAACCCCATTTTTTTCCTCAAGGTTCAATTCTATCATGAAAATAAGCCCTACATTTCCCTACATTTCCCTTTACCCAAAACTTATAATAATTTTGGAGATTTCCTCATATTGACATACTTTCCCGAAATGTTGATATTTCTAGTAGGCTATGTCCATCTTTCAACACAATGTTTGGTGACAAATAAAATAAAGTTGCTTATTGTCAGATTCGTGCTCTCAGAAGGTACAATATAGCTCGTGCTGGTTATAATATTCACGATTTCTTTAACTTATTGGTGATTTATGGCAAATGCAATAAGGTGTTAACAGGAACAAGTGATGCTTATGCTACAAGGTATCCAGAAAAACTGAAACCATCTCCAGATATCATTAGAAGAATAATCTTCAATCTTACGAACTTTGGATCATTCGAAAGGAAAATTATCAAAATTAAAACGGTGGTTGACAATGAAGATAATGCGATTAGAGTGCTTGGGTACTTCACTGCTTTTCCAGAAGATATCCGATTATGAGAGAAGAATTAACTTTGCGGAATTCTTCATTATGAAAAATCAAGAACACGACCAATTTTTGAGGAATATTATATGGAGCGACGAAGCGAAATTCACCAAAAATGTGATATTCAACGAGCGGAATTCTCACTACTGGAGCGATTCAAACTCGCATTCAGTTAGGGAACGTCAATTTCAAGACCGTTGGAATTTCAATGTTTACTGCGCTGTTACAGACGACGCAATAGTGATGCTTCACTTCTATGGCGAAAATTTGAATGGTTAGTTGAAAAGTATCGGAATTGTATTGTTTCATTGATTTAAAGAATATTAAAATACATCACTCAAGAAAATGGCATCAAGGTAGCTATGTAATAAACATTCATAGCATCTAGAAAATACATAACAGACCAACAGGTATTTTTATTTTCAGGTGAACGATACCTGGATATTTTAAAAAATCTCGATACGTATCATTTGGAAAAACTGACGCTCGCTGATCATCGAAAAATTTGGTATCAACATGATGGAGCCCCTGCACATAATCATCAGATGGTGAGGATGTATTTAGAAGAAACTTATTACGACCAGTGGTTTGGAACCGACGATCCTCAATTATGGCCACCGCGATCGCCCGATTCAACTCCAATGGATTTTTTATTTGAGGTTATATAGAAAACGAGGTGTATTCTAACACGCCAACAACAAAGGAAGATTTTCAGCAGAGAGTTCAACTCTATTCCACCGGACACGATAAGACTAGCTGTAGGAGACGTCATACGGAGAAGAGTAAAATGCTTAGAAGTTCGAGGCAATGTATTTGAACATTTGTTGCAATAAAAAAAGCGGTTGACAAAAGTGTCACATGTTCTTGTTTAGCATTGAAACTACATTTGAAATTATTGTCGATTCATGATTTTTGTCTTGAATATGGGATTATTTTTCATGAGATATTCAATGGAAACCAGGCAACAAAGAAATTTTATCGGACAAAATTGGGGGGTAAAAACGTAAATCCTCGCGTGATAATAACTTCTGGTGCGGAGTATCACCAAAATTATAAGTTTTGGGTATAGGGAAGTGTATCATAACTAGAGCTTATTTTCATAATAGAATTGAACCTTGAGGAAAAAAATGGGAGTTCTCATTTGAAACAGTTGAGATTTTTAATTTTTCTCATTCACTTATTGGACCCTAATTTCTGCGCACCCTGTGGATTATTCAGTGGACGTGAAAATGATGCGTAATCCGTTCAACCTTCAATTATCACGATTCACAAGCTGCATATTTTTAAAAATGTTGATTTACATAAAAATGACGTATGTTCGAGAGGATGCATCTGTCACTTTTTCTAAAGAAACTCGAATAACTCGAAAACGGTTCATTTTGGGTATAGGGTATGATACATGAGTTAGAATCTAAATCATGGGAAGAATTGAAAAATGAGGTGAAATACAGGGTGTGCCATTAAAAATAACAAAGTTGACGTCATTATTTCCGGTGAAACCCGAAACGTCACCTCAACGAAAATGTTTCAGTTGAATTCTCCATTAGTTATTCATCCATCCTATCAATTTTCAGAATCGCCCTACTTTCAGTTTACTATATATAGATCGTGTTAACACGTCAAGATACACCCTGTATAGACGCCCATTCTTTCATATATGAATTTATATCTCTGAAAACTACCTGCTCCCGAAATTCAGAATTTACCGCCCCCACCAAAATTTAGATAGAAATCCGCCCTTGCCAACCAGCGCTGTTTCGACCCACTTTAAGTCTCTTCATTGGTGCTAGATGAAACCAAGTATGCATTGTAAGATTCACCTGATTTTCGAGTGTTTGCGATATTTTCAGTGTACTCGATCCAGAAGACTATATTGCCGATAGTGTCTAGCAGTCATATTGTACATACTACATGCACTTCTATCATAATGTTGTTTTCACCAAAATTTTAATATATTTCAGTGAAAAAAAATATAATAAATAAGCTTAAATTCATTCCCGACTTCAAAGTTAATAAAATAAAAAAGTTCAATTAAAATCGTTTAGTTTCTGTCGAACAGTTCGCTATAAAATTACCTTCGTTGAAATTTGATAGTAAGGTTCTTGTAAATGTATATTACGAATCATTTCGATTGTTTTGAACGTAAGTTGGAACCTAAGAATCATTTTGATTGTTTTGTATGCAGGTTCTTCTTCCAATCTGTCCTGAAAGCCCACGCTACCTACTGATCACGAAGCAGTGGGAGGAGGAGGCGAGAAGGGCATTAAGAAGGTTGAGGGCTAGCAATGCCGTAGAGGAAGATATCGAAGAAATGCGGGCGGAGGAGAGGGCCCAGCAAGCTGAAGCGTCGATTAGTATGTCGGAGCTGATATGTTCTCCAAGTCTGAGGATGCCATTGGTCATAGGGATCGTTATGCAACTTAGTCAACAATTTTCGGGAATCAACGCGGTAAGATACATTTTACCAAACTCTCCAGTGTTTTTGGAGATGATCTATCAAAATAACTCCAAGACTATCCCCAAAATAGTCGTCATCACTCTCCCAGCGAAAAAAAAAGGTTTTGCTTGTTTGGAGACGGTTCCACCTTTGCAGTCCACTGTTTGGATTGTATTTTTGTTTCGGGCGTATAATGGTGTATCCAAGTTTCATCAACAGTAAATAATCGGTGCCAAAACTCGGATTTATTGCGCCTTAACTGCACCAACAGAGAATTGGGAATGTTCATCCGAACACGTTTTTGGTCTAACGTGGGGAAACGCGGCAACCAACGCGCGGACAGCTTTCTCATGCCTAAACGTTGATTTGCTAAGTGACACACATATTCTTTTGAAATGTTTATTACCTTTGCTATCTCGCTCACTTCAATTCGCCGGTCGTCTAGCACTACTTGGTAAACTATGGCGATGTTTTCGTCAGTAGTTGCAGTTTTTGGACGTCCCGAACATTCATCTTCTCCCAAGCTCTTACGGCCACGTTCAAATTCAATTACCAAAAAGTTCACTTTAGTAAATGATGGTGTAGAGTTCCCGTTCACATAATTCAACTCATTTTTGATTTGCGTAGGCGTATTGCCTTTCAAAAACAAATATTTAATGACAGGTCGATACTCGATTTTGTCCATTTTCATAAAAGCACCCACATCAACTCACTCAAACGACTGTTAACAACTGCGCATCCAAAATTACTGAAATTTTGATGAGTAACAACAGATGAACAAAGAAATCCACTAGCTTTCATTTACGAGTACTGTCATCTTCATGTTGAGGTCGGAAACTTTCCAGACCTCCCTCGTATGAATTTTGAATCTTTGCCTTTCTGAAAAGTCGAGTATTCACCCTCTCTAAATTTTACCTTCCCAATTACCTCATCGCCAACTTAGGGACGGTATTGGTAAGTGAATAACAACTTCCTGTGCTCCGAAACTATATCCTTCTTGGGGTACTATCAAATAGAACAAATTTGTTTGAATAGTAGAAACCCCAGAATAGAAATTTCTTCTTGAAGTCACTTGAATAAAGTGTTTGAAAATAAATTTTTCGTCAATCAGCTGGTAGATGCCATATTCTCTAAGAGGTCAACGCTGGATATCGAGCCTGGCGCTGGCAAAGTTAGGCAACACAAGAAACGGAAAGGCGCCCAAAGGCGTTGGTACAAATATAAATGTCTTATTGTACATTTTTGAAGCAAACAGAAAAAGTGCGGTAGACGAATCAACAGACGAGTAAAACAAAAGGTAAAATAGACTGGTTTCAAAACGTTGAGCTATTCAAGAAGAGCTAGAAGACGAGACGAACACCAAGTGAAGAGAAAACTACAATCAGTAAAAAAGAAAAAAAAATGAAAAGAATAACGAGAAGTCTAGTGACGAAATTTAGAGATCTCCGTGGTGAAATCCGAGAGGAGGTGAAATAACTTAATAACTGAAAGAATAAAATGAAATTCTAAAAGATAATAAACGAGATAATGACGTGTCAAAAAAGAGAGTGGAACAGCTAGAGAAAATAGATCAGAGAGTAGAACTTTTGGTGGGAGATAAAGGAAAGAACAACATTGTAATACCAGGTTTGAAAGTGAACCCAAAAACAGAAATTCAAGTGACGCAAAGAATAAAAGATGATATGCACGTGCTAGAGTTGGAAAATTTCGAAACAAAAATGGAAATTATGAGAGCACAAGATTTGAAGAATGAGAAAATATTTGAACAAAATAAAAATATTATTCAATTTAAAATTAGAGAGTGGGCAAAGAGACGAAAGAAAAGGGGAAATGCAGGTCGAGTGTGATAAATGATGTTAAAAATAAATGGATGAATATTCATTCGGAATAAAAGAGAAAATGAAAGCAGAATTCAACAGAATGGGTATGAGTAAATAATTATGAGTAAATAATTTACTCATACCTATGAGTAAATTATAGCCAAACTGCCGAGAACACAATATAGTCAAGTATAGTAGCATCAATTACTCAGGTGAACTTCAATAAAATATTCAAAATCATAAATACAAAATATCAACAGCTTTCACAAGTAATAATAATTCAGGTAGAACCCTGTTTAATGCAAAGTTCAAACGGGATAAAATGAAAAAATCAGGTATACATAGAATGGAGTGTGGCGAATGCTCTGCAGTATATATAGGCCAAACCGGTAGAAATTTTGACACAAGACTGCGTGAACACGTCTGTTTGGACAAAAACTTTGCAATATTCGAACATCTCCAAGAATCAAACCACAAGATAAATGAAGATAACCTCAAAATTCTACACATATGTAATGAAGAGAAAAAATAAATCTGTTGGAGGCCATGGAAATTAACAAATCAATTAAAAACCAGAAACATATACCCCTAAATGAGCAACTCGATTTATGTAGGTCTCCTCTCTTGAATTCATGAGTTTAACAACCCCTAGAATTTTCAGAGTGGTGTTTTAAGTTGGCAACCTGTCTCTTAAATACCTGTCTTTGTAACATACCTAAAAATTCTAATAAAACCGATATTTCAACATTCAGATTTCAATTTTATACTTGATAATGGGGTCAAACCCGAAACCGATCGTATAAATACAATCTATCAGTGGTATTTAGACGAAAGTGTTTTTATTCATTCCATTTAAGTGAAAATATAGAATTTGATAATGACCAACACAAAAACCTGACATAGAAGAATTTAATGTCTTCTCGAACAATGCCCTTCCTTACATAAAAATTCAAAATCCCAAATCGAAACTCTTTATCGACACAGGTAGCTCTATATCTATAATACGACCAGCAATAATAGAAAATTTATGTCCAAACAAAATATTAAACACAATGTATCATTCGAATAATATTTTGTAAACAACTTTAGGTAGTAAAAACATCAGATATAGAGCTCTTGTTCCGTGTTGTCCAGAATTCAATAGTACTTATGAAATTAATTTTAATTTATTTGATTTCCACGAATATTTTGATGGTGTGATTGGTTTAAATGATCTGATCAATATGAATTTTAATATTGATCTCACAAATAACCGATTGATTGGGGAACACGTAGAAATTCCTCTCAAAAATAGAGAAAGTAACGATATTAGTTTCAGTTTCTCAGTAGGTCCCAAAGAAAAAATTATAAAAAATTGACCGGTTAATATTTCAGAAAGAGATATTTTGATCGAAGGAAGTTATTTGGGAAAATTCGTTATACCACGAACTCCAACTTCTGCAAAAAACGGACAAACACCTATTGAAATTCAAAGTCTTACAGATCAATCCATTACTATGACATTAAACAACAATATCAAAGCAATCCCTTTTGAATCGCAAAAATTCGAAACATATAAATTTGAAGCTTTCTTTGTCCGGCTACAATAGACAGACGCACACATACAAAAGGGTGAAATACTAGATTTCATTCGTACCGATCATATGAATTCGAAAGAAAAATCCGCTTTTACAAAGCTCTGCAAAGAATATGCTGACATATTTTTTAAACCGGGTGACAAACTGACATTCACCTCGAAAGTCAAACACATAATTAGGACAAATGACGAAATTTCCGTAATACAAAGTCTTACAGATATGCGTATGTGTACAAAAATGAGGTACTACAACAGATAAAAGACATGCTTGACAAAACCATCATAAGACCATCCTGTAGCCCGTGGTCATCACCAATTTGGATAGTGCCAAAAAGGTTAGACGCATCGGGTAAACACAAAATGGCGTTTAGTCGTTGACTATCGAAAGGTCAAGAGAAAACTATATACGACCGATATCCTATTGCGAATATTACGAATATACTAGACAAACTTGGTAGAGCTCAATACTTTACCACGCTAGACCTTGCTAGCGGTTTTCACCAAATTGAGATGAGTAAATGCTCTATCGAAAAGACAGCTTTCACCGTGAACAGCGGGCAGGATGCCCTTTGGGTTGAAAAATGCGCCCACTACCTTTTAAAGGGCCGTGGATGAGGTCCTGAAAGATCTACAACATACAAATTTGTATGGTATATATGGACGATATCATAATTACCAGTACCTTCCTTCCAGAACATATTCAAAATTTAAAATTGGTTCTCACAAAATTAACGAAAGCTAAATTAAAAATCCAACTAGATAAATGCGAATTTCTACGAAAAAGAGTAGAATTTCTAGACCATATAGTCACAAAAGATAGGATAAAACCAAATCTTATCAAAATTGAAAAGATAACAAATTTTCCCATAGCTCGAACCCAGAAAGAAATCAAATCATCTTGGATATTATCGGAAATTCATGAAAGATTTCCCTAAAATTACCAAACCCATGACTTCGTGTCTGAAAAAGGAGAATAAAGTCGAACATACCAAGGAGTTCAAAGAATGTAAAAATATTGTAATGTTAGCTTACCCAGACTTCGAAAAAGATTTCGGACTCTCTACCGATGCCTCTAAATATGCGTTGGGTAGCATCTTATCACAAAATGGTCATCCCATTTGCTATGCATCTAGGACACTGAACTCTGCTGAAATAAATTACTCTACTATAGAGAAAAAACTGCTCCCGATAGTTTGGAGCTGTGAATATTTCCGACCGTACCTCTTTGGTGGGAAATTTGTGATTCATACAGATCACAAACCTCTACAATGGCTTTTTTCCTCAAAGGAGCCAAACTACAGACTTGTGAAATTGGGCCCAAAATTGGAAGAGTTTGATTATGTCATTAAATACGAAAATGGTCAAGATAATCAAGCAGCAGACGCCCTCTCTAGATACCCACCTAATTTTGAAATAAATGCCCTAGAAACAATGTCAACCGATGTTAATTTGGACGACATTAACGAAGTAATAGAAAAAGAACTAGAGAACCTGAAAAATCTTCCAAATCTCGACAATGAAAATATCGCTGATTTCTTAGAAAAGCAATCACTATTGGATACTCCGTCATCAAATGCTTAAAAACCAAGAGTTAATATTATTTCTAACATATTAGTAAAATCGGCAACCAACGTCAACCCCGAACTAGAGGTGGACTTGCAAACGGTACATACTTCTGCCGAAAACCCTATATTGACGATACCAGTAAAAGACCGATCTTTAAATACATATAAAAATCAGCTCGTTATGACAGTTGGAGACGTAGACAAAATCAAAGTTAGAGGAGAAAAAGTATTCGAAAATTTCCGACTATACGTAACTTTTCCAATAGTCGAACTTGAAAGTCAAATTGAAACTTTTGCAAGAGAATATCATGACGCCCTATTCTTTAAAAACCCACAACTTTAGGAAATATTTTCTGTAACTATCCAAAAGACTTTTAAAAATTCCTCACTCAAATTATTTCGGTGTACAAAATTTTTTACTGACATAGAAACTGTGGAGAAACAAAAGCAAAAGCTAGAGTATTATCACATGAACAATTCTGGCCACAGAGGGATGAACGAAGTAAAAATGTCATTAGGTTCACGATATTATTGGCCGAATATGTCTGTAGGTATAGAGAATCATATCAACAATTGTGAAACATCTCTAAAAGACGAATATGACAGGGATCCCTCTGCCATTAAGTTTGATTTGACCTCCACTGCATCCAAACCATTCGAACATATTCACCTCGACGTTTTTAGAATATCTAACCATATTTATTTGACCATTATCGATGCCTTCTCCCGATATGGCCAAGCATACCTTTTGAAGTCGGCAACAGGAATATTAATAGTTGAAGGTCTTTTGCATTTTGTAACTCATCATGGGCTACCTCTAAAAATCACAAGTGACAGCGGTACGGAGTTTAAAAATCAAGATTTAGAAAATTTCTGCTCTCTCCACCGTATTCAACTTAATTTCACCACAGCGAAGAATGGCTACTTAAATTCCCCAGTAGAACGTTTTCATTCTACCTTAATTGAACATTATCGTTGTTAAAGCGAAGAAAATAAAAATTTCACCCCAGATCAGTTGGTAAAATACACTATATTGAGCTATAGTAACTCTATACATGTTGTAACCAAATTCACTCCATTTGAAGTTATCAAATGACATATTGACGACTATAACCCTTTCGATATGAACGATAACGTTAATATATCGAACTTTGTTCAAAATCACAAAGTTAGAAAAAATATGTACGAAAATATACAAAGAGCAAATCAAACAACTAAAGAAAAAGTAATAACCAGAGAAAATGAAAAAGGTCAAATGCCCCACAATATACGGGTCGAAAAACAGTTCATATAAAAACTGAACCCCGAAATAAAAATTTTCCGAAATTCAAAAAGGTTACCCTCGATCAGGAAACTGATGAAAAATTAATCACACAATCCGGAACATATCATAAAAGTTCCGCTAGAAAATCCAGAAATATTAAAGAACAAACATTGTTACAGGAAAATCAACAGGATGAAGTTTCTTCTCCTTTGCCTGGTCATATTGTAAGGATGACATAGACGTTACCAACCTAGACAATCTCATCCTTCCAATACAACTAGGAAACGCTAGACTCATATACACTAAACATACCTTTCTACACTGTTTGGAAATTAAAATCATTATCGATCAGATACAAAATTTGAATAAAAATTTTGAATCAATCGAAAATAGTATTTCCAAAGTTAATGTAGGTAACCCAATATCTTTTCACGGATTATCTGAGAATATGCTGCTCAGAACTAAATATCTCATTTGAACTTCACAGAGAAAAATCGACAATCTATTACCCTCATTCCATACTCGCAATAAGAGAGGGCTAATCAATGTAGTTGGTAAAATAAACAAATGGCTTTTTTGGCAACCTCGACTCTGATGACGAGGAACATTATAATAACGCTATCAAAGTTTTGGAAGATAATAAGGAAAAAATTATTCATGAAACCAATCTTCAAATGTCCTTGTCTAAAACATTATTGAACCATTATAACAAAACCATTAGAATTTTCACAGCGAACCAAGAGAAGTTCGAGCGAAATTTGGAAAGATTTCAGGTAACAATCAGTGATACAATAAGAAATGTCGATAATCACCTTAGTTTTCAAGGAACATTATTACAATTGAACTAAGACTGTCAGAATTTAATGAACTCCATAGATAATATTGAAAATGCCATTATGTTTTCTAAACTGAACACTTTGCAAATACTACTGAACTTCAGGAGATGGCGACATATTTAATGAAAATATATAATCAAAATCAAGTTTCAAATGTTAAGAATACACTCACGTATTACCAGTTTTTAGAAACCCAAGTCAGTTTCGTCAATACCAAATTGATCTTTGCAAAACACGTCTCTATTGTTAGGCCCAAATTCTTTGAATTCTATCATGTATCATTATCCAAAATCACACGATATCCTTTCCCAAATATCCATATTTGGCACGGAACCAGGAAGACATCCAGTTCGAAAAAGAAGATTTCCCTTTCCTAGAAAACATATATTACTGCTCGAAGAACTTTGCCCCACTGACTGACTGCACACTTCACCTTTTTGAAGGAAAATTCTCAGAGAAATGCCAAATTGTGGAAATCAACGTGCAAGATCTCATTGTAGAACGAGTAACACAAGATCGAGTATTGATAATCTCTTTCAAAGAAGAACGTCTTTATTCCCAATGTAAAACAGATCAGTACCTAGAAATCAATTCTCCAGTATTGATCAGAATCCCACAATCATGCGAAATCCAAATTCATGATGCAAAATATGTAAACGACATTCATATCCAACAAAGAAAACCGATGATTTTACCCAAATTGGAAATGACGGACTTGAAAACTCTAAAAGTCTACGACATTCCGAATTTCACCAAAATCAACCTAGATGGACTATACCAAATCGACAGAATAGCCAATCACCTGAAGCCCATTCAATCGCAACAAAACCAAGGTCCTACAACACCTATTTTTGGGACTGTAATATTTGTAATCATCGTCATCGAGATACTGCTCAGTCTGCCGAAATTGGAGCAGTATTTCAAAAAAATATTCAAGAAAAACCAAAAAGCCAGTGGATCTTCAGAAACCAAACTTCAAAAAATAACTCCGTTATTTTTTCAGTCTGAGGAGGGACGAGTTAAGTGCTACCAGATATCAAGAAACGTGCCTTATCCACAGGAGCCCCAGACTTTGCAAACTCATTTTATTTCAAATCTTTTAATAATTGTCTCAATAAATATTCATTCTTCGTACTGCTATCGAAGAGAATAAACGCTTCCTTGAGTCTTATGTGAAATCTTTTTTTTAAACTGATTTTTCGAAATCCAATACATAATTAGCGGGAGACGAAGATGAAAGTCTACTAAGACTACTAGACTGAAAAAATTAAAAAACTTCTCAGGGATACTAAATGAGGGAGAAGAGAAAGCAACACCTCACAACTTGCGGAAATCGCTGAATTGAAGAACCAAATTGAGAAAAAAAAAAGATTATCACGAAACTGAAAAATAATAAGGCCCCAAATGAAAATAACATCAGCGCAGAAGTGTTGAAAAATAGTACGGAGTTTTTGCAGCCTCGGCGACTTGTCGAAGTTATAGAAGATCTATGACAAAAAAAGTTGCCTGATGAGTGACACCAGACTTTGATACTCCTTTTACTCAAAAGAGGGAAAGTGAGAAATGCTATAACTACCAAGGTATAGCACTGCTAGATGTAGCTTACAAAATTGGTATGAAGCTAATCAAGAAAAGTTTACAGTTAATGAAACAGGTAATTGTTCAGGAAAGGAAAATCCATTGTAGACCAAATACATAACCTCTAAGTAAATTCAAAAAGCGAGACAAGTATACCAGCTGAATATACAATGTACTGAGATATGGAGTATACCCATTTCTCAAGAAAAACCTCCTCAAACTGCAGTTTGAGGAGTGCCAGATGATGACAGTACTACCAACTGTCGAAAGCGCTCGCAGATAATTAATAGAAGATATAAAGCTTCAAATCCTTTTTGTTTGAATAATTTCAATTTTATAAAAAAATTGTGCCTGATATTGCCCCACAACAATATTATTCTGATGATGATAGTAATAATTTTTCATTACAGGTGTTCTACTACTCTACCAGCCTGTTTGTGAGTTCTGGTCTCCCTGAAGAGAGTGCCAAATTTGCCACAATAGGCATTGGATGCATTATGTTCATCATGACACTAATCTCAATTCCGCTCATGGATCGAATGGGAAGAAGGACGCTGCATCTCTACGGTCTTGGTGGCATGTTCATCTTCTCCATTTTCATCACGATCTCGTTTCTCATCAAGGTTTGTTGGCATATGCCAAGATAGGGTTTGGTTTGGTGATGGGAGGCCTGTTAACAATAAATTCAATTGAATTCTCAATAACCGTGACTTCCAAAGTGATTAATACACGTTCCCGATAACTTCATTCATCGACCTTTCCCATAGTAGAAAAAGAAATATCACGAATAATAACTGATAACCAACCTTGAAATACAAATAAATCTATGATAACCATCAATTACCTTGTAACAACAAAAAACGTTGTTACTACATCATTTAAGAAATTTTAGAATGAGTTAAAGAGTTCAAATCATTTGAAAGTTTCCCTACGTAAAAATAAGTCGATGTATTGAAAAACTGGGTTATTTTCAATGAAGTTTTAAACTTTCACTGTCAAAAATGAACTCAGATTGTCTGGTGGGTAGCAGTGGACCAATGGAGGGACTGACTTTGAGTGGTACGTCAATCTCTATATTGGACCGCAGCCACCCAGCCCGGGTAACTAAAGTTCGAGTATTCCCGGTTTGATCGCATAAATTATTTCATTCTCATTTTGAATCTCCTTCATGATAAGAAACGTTAAAATTAACGTCGAAAAATCGTTACCTTGATATTCAGCCAACACACAACATATCAAAAATATTGTATTGAGCTTTACGGTGAAATGGAAGAGGAATATCATAATTTCGTTGAAATGTGATGTAGGTACTCATTTGTATTCATAGGGAATTGGAATAAAAATATTATTTTGGAGGATTTTTGTCATCTCTCTTCAATTTTGTTGAAATGTCTTGAGAGTGGTTGCCTGATTAGTTCGTTAACTTCTCCCAATGTTGTATTCTCAACGTTGAGGTTTGGTGTTTGAACCTTGTCAGAGAAGGTTCACACTGCGGTTTCCTATTTTCCTTTCCGACAGGCCAACTTAGTTTCAAATGAATTTTCTGAAATTCCTGTCGTATTATAACGAAAAATTGTCTTTGTAAAAATTCCTAATATGACTAATGTATTCAAAGTATTGAATCTATTATGATAAAAAATACTCTTGAAAATCAACATCAGTCCTATATTCATTTCTAAATTATTCATTCATTTCCTGTGGCTTTTTTGGATGGTTAAAAACTTCCCGTCGCTGCATGGATACTGGAATGGTCTCTGCAAAGTACAATAGTTAATAAGTTTGCTCTCTTCCAGGTGGGGTCTCAGAATCTAATCATGATATAAGCCTTATCGTGCTTGTCTGAGAAAGTACTATATACCTGTTTCTCTTCATGGATGAATGTCCGAATTCTTATGCATTTCCCAAATACCTTAGAATTGAGGACAGATGAAAAAATTGAAATAACGGGCTGATGCCTTTTTTGTAGCTCTTTCTTCTTAAATCAATCTATGTTGAATGCACTATATTGGACCATCGGGTTTTATTGTTTTTTGTTGAAATAAAGTACTTAGTTGAATGAATAGTTTCAACGAGACGAATATTTTTTTATTTAGACAATTTTATAGAAATCGATGGTAATCCACGATCATTTGATGTTTTGAATCAATCAGTAACTTATCAGAAAATGTACAAGCAAGGCATTGCTACAAGAAGAATGATGGCACGCCTTGAAAACCAACGGAGACCAGAAGATGTTTCATCCAGAAAGAGAATATAACAATACAATCAGTGAACAGACAACCATTCCTCACGATTTGGAAAATCTCCTCGAAAGTTCGAGTGAAACCATCGAGAAACTAGCAAAAATCATTGAACAAGAAAGACAAAGCAAAGATAGAATTTTCACGAAGAAGTGTTAGTGGCGTATAAGAAGATATCAACTAAATCATACTGAAGTCCATCACTGTCTGAAATCAAGTAAAAGTACTCCTAACAGTGAAAATGTAGAAATGTTTTCAGCACGTCAGTATGTAGACAAAGAACTATATTCTGCAGTGAAGTGTAAGATTGGCCATTTTTCTGTGATAGGTGTTCTCACAACAAATATGCTGAATTAGTCTCAATAATAATTTTTTTGCAGACTGGAAAAGACCTTAACAAATGATGCAAAGAATACCTATTGAAGGTATTTTCATCTCAACTGGTTCTACTTCAAAATAAATACGGTTTCCAAACACTAGAACTGGAACATTCTCGACGCACGTTTCACCAACCAGTGTCGTAGTTCTGGTGTTTGAAAACAGTACTAAGCAGAGATTCAAGTTCTACCTTTTAACTAGTTTCACGAAAAAATAATGAGTATTCTGGAACAATGTTTTACTCGTAGTAATTTAACAATGAACTAGTTCGTGAAACAGAAGCATCCATTAACCTCAAATAGTGAATAGGTCTGGAGAAAATCTGAAAAGTACAAATCTACAACGACTAGGGACAAGCATCATATTCAAAAAATGTTTTTCTGCAGATGTAAGAAGGATTTATAGCGGGTTTATGCAACACACTTCCTAGACTTAGACTAAGAAGCAAGTGTTACATTATGATAAATCAACGAGAGCGTTTATGGAAATTTGATTAAGACTAAGAACTAACAACTATGCCTAGGAAGTTGGCCAACTCTTAACTAATAACTGAGTGCTTAAGTTGAAACGAAAATGGGCATGCGCCAAATTAAAATATTCACATATACCTACATAACGAGACGAATCACGTTTGAATTGAAGAGAGTATATTTTTAGGAGAAATCCACTTTTGGGAAAGAAAGATTTTGGCTTTCTACTCCATAAATTCAATCAGGAAACGTAAATGAGAATCCATACGTCAAATATATGTTGAAAATTGTACCAGTGACATTGACAGCTAATCAAAAACTAATGTTAACCATCGCATCACGAAGCAACAGTTTGGAAATATAATTCTATAATCAAATCTGCTGGGAAAGTTTATTATTTTTGAAGAATTGTAGAGCGACTTGCGGTCGATCGCTGAAAATCCTGGCTATATTATAGATCAAGTCAACTTATTTCGATTCTGAAAATTGGGCATTCGTCTAGAAGATATAACACAATAGTACATGTATCACAGGAGGGTACTCATCTATTAAGAGGTAACTCTCAAGACGTGTGTTGCCAATGCGAAGTAGAGTCAGCACTACAGTTTTTTGGTGTTGACTGATAGTGTGAACTATTTGAAAAAACTGTCATTCCTGTGACCGAACAGTAAAATTAGTAAACGATCCTGCCAAGATTAATAGTTTTTGTTCAAATGGTACATTGAATATGGAATATTCCATTATGGATGTTGGTCAGCAGGTTGAATAACATGACATTATATTTATTTATTACTGATTCCTATGAGGTCAAGTATAATTCACTCTGAGAACTAGTCAGATTTTGAAACTTGGGAAATTTGATGAGAGATGACAAACAGAATTATCCTATAACAAAATTCTTAAACATGAAGGTTTCAGAAAAGTTTAAGAGATATAACGTGTCAAAGAAACTTGTTCCGAAACCGATAATATACAAATATCATTGTTTTTATATTTTTAATTTTTCAAAAATTTCGTTGGAAATGAATATTAGTGTTGGCAAATATCAAGAATTCGTTTACATTGTGGATAAAATGATTTCTGTTATGTAGAAAATAACATAGTAAATTAATATAATTTTATATGCGTTCGGGAATTTTTTGTTTAATCAGATTTCAATTCAGCCTAATTAATAATAATAATACCAAATGTTCAACAGAACAATTTGAATGCAGTTATTTTGAAAATTGATTGAACGAAATGTGAGATAATTAATACAATTGTTATCCATTCATTGTTCGTTGGCGTGTACAGTAACTAAATTAGATTTTCATTGGGTTTCATTTAATTAGAAGTAATAAACTATTTCTATGTATATTACTGAATTTTTTGAGTGCTATTAATCTGGTTATGATTTCATGAATTAACTTTTTTCAATTATTGATCAAAACATTATATTGATTGATATTATATAATTTTCGGGGTTGCAAACAATGGTAAGGGCCGGTTGGACGAAACTCTCGTTTTGTCAAGCTTTCGGCACCGTTCAATGCTTTCCTCAGGACAAAAAAACTCTCATCTACTAACGTGAGGTTATTTATAATAATGGAAATATCTGTAGAGGAAAAAAACATTCAATGATTCTTATTGAAATGAACGACAGTGACAGTTATCAAAATAAAAAATTTTGATTAGAAGGTGATGCAAATGTATCTTTTCCATTTGATATTTCAGAATATACGTGTATATCTAATTGAGATAATTTAAGTCGGTTATTTTATTCATCGACATTTCCTCTTTGTTTATTGCAACCATTTGTAAACGTTTTTTTTGTAAATTAATTTCAGTACATAGGATTTTAGTGTTACTTCAATCCATATTCTGATCGTTAAGATAAGGTACAAAAATGTATGTTTTAGCTGACATCACTTTTATGAAGAGTGATACAGTTATTTGAATTTCTAGATGTTTCGTTGAAATCATTAAATGTTTTCTTGCCCAATTGGAGATTTTAATTTTTGTGAATGTTCTCACCTCAGCAACTATTTTTCTGTTGATGTTGTTTATATGTTATAAGTTGTCCTGAGGAAGGCACTGAATTGTGAAGAAAGCCATAAAAATTATATATTTCTAAGTTTTCGATATGTTACAACTGGTCCGGTACTCAGAATAAATACTACATGTCTTGAGCGTATTTTAGTAAGGACATAATACGATTGAATATACTAAACGTACCAAGATGACAAACTTCCATTTACGAAGGCCTCTACCTCTACCAAAATATGTCAAACCAACCTCCATATATGAATATATTTTTTGTCTATTCAATAAATGAAAATGGTGGTAACAATCATTACTGAACACTCACTGAACAATCATGGTTCAATTGAACCAACTTCATATGGAAGTAAATCATTCAGAGGAAGATCAAACTGATTTGATCTTCCTCTTGAAAATAATCACTTGATGATCGAAACACGTGGCGAGGTGTTGAAATAACGGTTTGGTGTTGGGAAAAACTCCAGTAATATTCATTTGTACCTTACATGTTTCTTGGAGAAATTACCAACAAAATAAATGAAAAATCAGATTCGAAACTTTCTGTTTTTAATTTCATTTCCCATTTTTCATGATGATCTTCTACCACTTAGTAACGGCTACAACAATCGATTTTTAAAATGAATGCTTACATCGTCAAATTTAGTAAAAGTCAAGCATGCAATGAATACACATTTTTATCAAGTAAAAAAGTCTGTTGACCGAATTGTATAAGTGATTGTATTATTGGTTTTCAAAACGAATTTAAACGATATCAGCCTCGTCTTACAATATAATCTACGCCTAATCTGCTATAGAAATGGAAGTCTGTAACCTTGGATTTCTAATTTATCCAATCCGAATAATTCATCTCCAGCTTCTTTATACCAAATGTAAAAATGTATTTGTTTATTCTGGCTGGGCCAGTTATTTCAAACGAGATAGATTTTTGAACGTGTCTGAACCTGAAAAATATTTTTAATAGAAAATTGGAAGTACCAATGATGTTCGTGGAACTTTTCTAATTGTTTCTGGATGCGCGTTTTGCTAACCAAGTTAGTTTAATCAGGAAATGACTAAAACTAAAATTTGTCTGAAACATTGAAGATACTAACTCAGTTTAGAAACTTGAAGTTTCAAATTCAAATATCAACATGTTTGTCATCCGCAGATGATATCGAATTATACTTCAATTTTTTCCTGAAAGAATCAATAGCATAATGGTATTACATAAATAGGGCAAAAACCATATTGATCACAAACATTATGCTTGTTCAATATCATAAGAAATACAGTAAAATAGCCGATTCAAAATAACCGTTTTGTGTTGATGATAACAACATATTTATTTTGACAATATTTTGAGTTTAAAAAACAAATTGTGTACACATTAGTTCTTCAAGCACGTTCAATTAATCTAAATTTTTGATACCTCTTTCTGAATATATTTTCCTGCATGATTTTACATTTCATTTGCTTCACCTCACATATAGCTTATTCATTATTTTGATTATAGAAATGAAAGTTCTTACATTTACTCGAAAAATGATTTTCTAAGTAATGAATAGGTATTAATTTTCACAAACTATCAAAAGTGATTGGATTTAAGGTTTTATATTCGAAAAATATTAGAGTCGTTATAATTTAAAAGTGGTTCTCATTTCGAAATACCACAAAACTTTAACTTTTAAATTTTTTTCCATTTATATCGAGAATATTCGATTCCTCTGATTGAACAGACAAATAATTATGAAATATTTTTTAAGTTTGCTTTCTTACTACCATAATTTGAAAAGAACTATTCATTTTTGCTTCATCATCCACATCCTCGCCCCGCTTTTTATGCCTCCCCTGTCTGTTTTTTGACTTTCCTGACACGGTGGAGGAGGGACGCTGTTAATACCTAAGCTATATCCTATGCCACAAGCCACTCTGCGCACGCGTGGTTTTTTCATTATGCATGCTTAGAAGGATATTGGTTTCATTATTGGTTGTATACTTTTCATATATGACATCATGGTTGTTATATTTATGAATTTAGAATATTTTTTTCGTTTCATTACTATGGGGTAACTAAATTATCACTAAACACAAAAATGTCTCAATTTCGCTGTAACTTTTGTTATATTCAAGTTCTTAATTACGTGGAGCTTCTCCACGTTCAAAGTTCAAATGTTACATTGCTAATTATCAACGAATTATGAAAAATAAACAAATAAGTAATGGAAAATAAATCGACCTCAAAATTATTTCGAGATAATTTTAACATACTTGAATTTCATTAGTTCAAACTTCCATTGTATGATATATAAAATGATTTGAAATCCCTGCAATAACTTAAAAAAAATAAAAATCAAAGAAGAAGAATAAACATGAATAGCTGAAAAAATAGTTATAGTCAGCAAAAACCCTGAAATGAAATAATAGTGAAATGAAATACATGTAAAAATGGAACGAATTGAACAAAAAATAAATCAAAATGAAATTAAAAGGTTAAGAGATTCCAAGTCAAGTTAATTCACGACGTTTCGATTGTTAGTATCCACAATAGTCTTCGGGTGATGACTGGACCGTCTCCTCCGTGAGCTGATTATTTATAGCTCATTTGAGTACTTTCACTTATCTCTGCTTCACTGGTTTAGTGGGAGAGGATCAGTTGGCGGAAGTTGGCCATTTTTCGCTTGATTATGGGTTTTCCATATGTTGTGTATCTCTACGCTAGCTTGGCTGAATACATTGTTGGATAACATGTATGCGGCTTCTTTGAATTTCCTCCTCAACCAATGTTTCTCTTTGTGTATAATCTCAGCTTGGGACCATTCGATGTTATGTTGATGGGTCCAAACATGCTCTGCTATTCCTGATTTGCTGGTTTCTTCTCGCTGTGTGTGTTTCTTGTGCTCGGCAATGCGAACATTCAATGGCCTCTTAGTTTAAACGATATAGGATTTTCCGCATTCACAGGGTATCCGGTAAATGCCGTTCTTGGAATCGCAGTCCGCGTTTGATGGTCTGGTTTCCGTGAGGCTGCTACGGATAGTGTTACCAGATCTGAAGCAGGTTCATCTTCCATTTTCAATTCTTCTTTTTAGTTATCTCAGGGATTTCAAATCATTTTATATAATATCCAGACAATGGAAGTCCGAGCTAATGAAATTCATCATGAAACATTGTCAATCATCTTCAAACAAACGTTTAACATACTTATTTCACCTACGTTATTAGATGTTAGTGACATTCGTTTATAACTACACCATCAACTGAAAGTAGTTTTTCTAATTCTCGTAAAGATGCTGAACAAAAAATATTCGACAGTGACTAAACAATCATAATTATTGTCAACAGTAAAGACCAATTAAGTGCGTTAATGTGGAATAAACTTCCTGAGAACGTTCTTTCACACAAATTTTATCTCCAGCAATTCAAATCCAGCATGAGTCTCTCTACTTTCGCGTAGACACTCAAGGACAAAGAAAATACATTAGGTTAGCCGATGAAAAATCTGAAAACTGATTTCGAGAGCAGAGAAAAAACACTTTGTGAACAACTGGTTCATTTCATTGGTTAACTGAGAACTTCATTGGCTTCAACGACTTCATTGTGAAAATACAAAATACTTATATCCCCAATGTACCTCTGCTCCTGGAGGTCAAAGGAGTTGACGTGTCGCAGGCACTCTTTTCACCAAAGAAGTCATCTAAAAAAATGTATAAGTTAAGGATTACGACGGATTACGAAGAGCGTAGATAGATCCGAGCTTTATAACCTGTATTCTACACCACTCGACAAATCAAGCCATAACCTCAAGCCATTACTTCAAAATAAACAATTCACAACACAGTCTTTTCAGAATTGTCTCTTATTTTTCAATTGTTGAGGGTCGACTTTGATATGGAAAAAATGTGTATCATTCACTCAGTTTGCCTCTTTATCAAAATCAACTTCCATAATAATTACTGAAAATGTGATTTCCCTACAAGTCCAAAAAAAAAAATTGAAATGTTCTCCTTCGAGGCTACTTATATGTTCGCAACCAAATTTTTGGGGTCGGAATGTGAGATTTTGAACAAAGTAAAAAGTGGACTTCACAAAATGATGAAAATAATACTGCTCATTGCAAATCATGCTACAAATTGTTAACTAACTGCTAGATGGAAAGTCGCTTAGTATGTATAGAAAAAAAAATCTTTGGCATGGATTCGGATACATTATTTTCGCCAGTAATTGGAATCGATGTCAAAGGAAAAGAAATTACAAAGTAAATATTAAAACATCAAGACTCTAGTTGTGTGGTAGTGAATTGAATGATTTCTTTGATATAATATGTCGAATAGTGTGCGAATACTGTTCATAGTAGTCATGTAAATAATTCATATCCAGTTTTTTAAAATCTGACATCGGTCTTCAATCAACTAACCCTTCATCTTCAACATATGTGAAAGTTGACTTTTTTCTTCATGTTTTCTGAAAATTCTGTTTATTACAAGTATATCTTTATACTACAAGTAGTATATTACAACCAATAATGTTACTGATCATAGTACCTATTTGAAAAATTTTCAATTAACTTTCACCTTTCCTTCCAAACTACAAATGTGCGTAACCATTAATTTCATAATGATTTATGACTTTTTTCACAAATACGAAACATTCCAACTGCGTGAAAGTTAACTAAAAATGTTTCAGAACTCTTAACAAATACATATTCAACTTCCCTAGCCCATTTCTATTTCTACCCAAGCCTACTCCTCCCCGTTTGTCGGGAAAGAACTGTAATTCTACCGCCTGATAGGAGTTTTTTGGGTACGTGCAGGAAATGATTGATTGGATGTCTTACCTCTCGGTGGTGTCGACGCTGTGCTTCGTCAAATTCTTCGCCATGGGACCAGGCAGCATCCCCTGGATGATCACCGCAGAACTCTTTTCGCAAGGACCGCGGCCAGCAGCCATGTCCATCGCTGTGCTGGTCAACTGGACTTCAAATTTCATAGTGGGCATTTTATTTCCCACGATGAAGGTAAGTAGTTAGATTAGTTTATTGAGAAATTTATGAATGTGGTAGCTAGAAGCTACCACAACTTCTAGCTACCAGCTAGAAGCTGGTAGCTAGAAGTTGAAAAAATGTGTTTATCACCAGCAGTGTTATAGTTGTCAGTCATTGAGCCTTATGAGATTTTTCGAAATCTGGGTCATGATCGGTACAAAAACGCTTTCATTCCAGCATGATAATGAACTATGTTCGACTCCCTCATTATGCTCCTGGTTCCTTGAAGAAATGAAAAAATAGATTGTCAGGAACAGGGATAAGATGGTAAGCAGAATGGTTACAGTTATCAACCTCGTTTCTCAAGAAGAGTACTTAAAAAATACAGTGATAGTAAAAACTTTTTTTCCAAATTTAAAGATAAAACTCCAACTCTACACAACTCAGGCATAGTTTATGGAATTCCTTGTGCAGAATGTAACCAAATATACATAGGCCAAACTGGCAGATTCCTCAAAGCCCACAAAAGTGATATAAAAAACAACAAAAATAGTTGCACTTTAACCCAACATTCCATCAACCATGACCACAAAATTGCATATGACAATGTCAAAAATATTAGACCAATCCAACAACGTACACAAAAGAATGTTCCTAGAAATGACAAACATTTTCAAAAATCCTCTCAGTATGAATTCTAGAAGAGACATAGAAGGACTTAGTATAATCTATACTTACCTACTTCACTTAGACAATCAAAACAGATGCACCAACCATCCTGCTACCAATCCAATATAATAAAAGTCAATCTGCACATCATAATGATTGGAAATATCAGTCAATAAACCTCTTTCAAACTCTTTTAACTTAATCAAAAAATAAAATTACATTCAACCATTCATCTATCAATTTCAATATGTGCTGTAAATGACAAGACAACTGTTCACTCTTCCAAGATGTTAACCAAAACAAAATTCTATTCAATTTATTTTTGAAAATTCATCACAAATTTCAATTGCACTTTATTCCTGTCTGATGATAAACTTAGTCACTTTTGCATTCCATACCACAGACATGGATCTTTTCTCCTTTTCCAATA